ACCACAGAAACAGCCATCCCAACTGCTGAAAAAGGCTGGACACATGCCAGTCGAGTGAAAGGACCCATCACTGCAGACACCCCTGGGAGGTGACCAGTCGCCCTGGAGATCTACGGCCAGCCCTTCGGAAGGCACAGGGACCTGCGCCAGCTGGGAACGTGAATGACTGAATTAGGGGACAGAGAGCTATACCGACTGAGACTCTTGGTAAGAAAACCCCTACAGGAACTGGAACAGGAGTTCAAGTGCCCTCTGCCGTGGAAAACCTGGAATGAACTGACACTTGCTCTTTCAGTAGTGGCTGAAGTGAGGCGAGAATTATTCAATTACACCGAGTGTCTTAAAAGTCGGGAATCTTCTTGTCAGGCGTGGGTAAAAATCTTTTGTGGGGGCTGTAAACGCAAATGGTGGATTCTGCAGTCACATTTGGTGGGGAGTGCATGGTGTCTTACTTGTGATTGGGATTGGAGAAGAGCAAATCCATTAAGGGCCTTAAGAGAATTTATAAGGATCCCTGGAGAGCGGGAGATCCCTGACAGAGAAGCAGCATCACTAGTTGAAAATGTAGAACAGAGAAGAGATTGGGCCCTGGCATGGGAATTCCAACACCAATTGCATAGGATCACACGCCAAAACCAGACAGTCATATTAACTACCTTGTGTAAGAAGGGAATCCACGTTCCTCTGGGGCGGCAAGTGAGGCCTGACGAGTGGAATAGCACGATTCGCTGCTATTCCCGAGTCTATAAACAACAAAAACGTAGAGAGCGTAGGGAAGAACGACGCAACTCTAGGAAGACAGGAGAAAGGGAATAAAAGGCAAAGAGTAGACCCCAAGTAGGTGTTGGACTCAGGCCCTGTAAAGCTCGCTAGGGACAGCAGAGAGTCCGTCATAAAATCAAAGAAATCCTTTGCAAGAGACCCTTTGCCTGGAGGCCTGACAGCCTGCCATTAGGAGTGGGGGCAGGAGTTAAGGAGAAAGCCCAAATAATGCACCCCCTGAAGCCTACCCCTGCTGCCGAGAAGATAATGATCCCTGCAGAGCAACGCACCCGGGCTGGCAGGCGAGGCAGAGAGGTGAGGAGTAGTGGGGGAGAGCAACGGAGCACAGGAACAGGAACGGAGCACAGGAAAGCCCCAGGTAAAAGAGATATGAGTACGAAAGGAGACAGAAATTTGTTGCTAGGACCCTGCACTGCTTGGCGAGCTCCCGTAATTATTATAACCCTGAGCATCCGGGCTGCCTGGGGAAACCCTCATCAGCCTTACAAAGAGAACATGATCCCCCTAAATAAATGGACCCTGACCCCTGACTGGTCTCAGGCCTTTTTGCAATCTACCGGATCTATGGGGAATACCACAGGTTTAAGTTTACTAACATTGTACTGCATGACAGGCTGCCCTACGCTAGACACGAACGGAAGAAGCAGAAAACCTGGCAGCTTCAAGGAGTAGTGGGAGAACAAATTAATATTGGATGTCGAATGGTTAATGGGTCTGACTATACTAACACAATTGCAATCAGTGTTTCCATGGGTCAGGAGGATAAACAAATAGCAGATTGTGCATACCCAATAACACGAGACTGCTGGCAAAACTTCACATGAACTCACACTGCAGAGGTAGTCTGTCTCTGGTCGAAAGATACACAGGGCCTTTCTTTTAAATTTATAATAGATACTAAAACACACTCTACCACTGCTGAACCTCACAATATCACCACTCCACCTGCACCACCAGTTATACTCACCCCAAACATTTTCAAATCTGGACCTTATATAATCAGGAAAACTGGTCAACAACAAATATTATTCAATCTGGCACGGTGTCTCAAACAGGTCGAACTGCTGATGCAGACCAATGTTTCAGACATCCAGCCAGCTTGTTCTCCATTTTTGCAAGCATCCTTTGAAGGCTGGACCATTTGGCTCCGGAAACGCAGCTCTTTTAAAACAAGGAAACCTAGAGATGAGACCGGTGTTCTAGGCACAGGATTGGGAATTCTGAATAGCATTGATTCGGAAGCACTAATGAACGAATTGGCTGCTACGACTAGAGATCTGTCCAAATTACAGCAACCACTGAAGTCATCTCTGTTAGCCTTGGGGACACACCAGTGGATGCTGCCAAACATTTTGCCAAATTGGGAAAGAGTAAATGTGAACGATCACAAATTGGTGGTTGATGTGCTGCACAAAATAATGTTTCCTCAGCCCTCAGCTGTAACCAGGCACAATTGTGGATGCAGTCAGTTTCTGCCTCGATTATAAGAGAAGGCAAGGAAGGCACTTTCCCCACAGAAATTTGGAAAATAATCTGGGACAATGCCAATGATTTTGAAAGAGAATTCCAGTCCTGGTGGAAACTGGTGAATTTTACCTATCATGCTATTTCAAATACAGCTACTGCTTTTGTCTTGACCATACACAATGCCTCTGTACATCTAGATTTTCCTGTTACTGCATTAGGAATAAACCATGACGGAGCTGTTCTCTATCCTATAGAACATAGGGGATGGGCCCTATGTCAGTTTGATGACACATGGCAAACTGTTGATTTGGAATCTTGTATTATCCGAGAACAACTGGGGTTCACCTGTGAAGGCAATGTAATTATAGCTCAAGATATCTGTTTAGACACGGAGCAAAACATCTATCATTTTGAGATTCCTCCTAACGAGACTTCTAAAACAGTTCTTACATCCATAGGCAATGGATGTGCGTGTTTTAGAACTATTTGTGATTCTGTGCTTGTAGATGATATTGTGGTGGATACAAAGAATCACTCCAACTTCTGTGCTTGTAACTTCACTAAGATTACAGGGTGTGATATCGCTTATGAAGCTAAAGTCACCTCTCACCACCTATTACAATCCAACTACACACTGCTTCACAAGCTAATGCCCACCCCGATTGGGATGAACTTCACTCTAGTGAGACAACTGATGCTCCATCAAGACCTGATCCAAATCCTTGAGAAAATCAAGGAAAGCGGACAGAAAACCCTGGTGACTGTTCATCATGATGTAGGAAAAATACACCGGGTTCTAGAGAGGGTAAAGCAAGATGGCGAGCACAGGCGGTGGGATGCCCTGTTCGGGTGGGCTCCTACTCCCACAGGTGTCCTAAACAGTATATGCCGTCCCATTGTTGTTCTTTTGATTCTGATTGTGCTTGGTTTTATTTTGTCAGCAGTTCTATTCGTTATGAATTGGAATATGATGAAAAAGCTAAGGAAATTGGCATCTGTAATTAGTGCACATAGCTTAACTGATGAGGAAACTCAGTTAACGCTTGCTAGTGTTAAAGACGTGAATCACTTGTTTCCAAAATTTTAAAAGTTTAATAGTAATAAAATATTTATAAAAATAGTAATACAATTAGAGTAATAATAATTTGGACAAACTGAATTAGGACAATATGAGACAATAAAGACAAAGAGTTACGGATGTCCGGGTACCTTTTTCTGGGCAGCACGAGCCCGAAAAAGGACCCCTGTTAACAAAGGATTAACCCTTAAAAACTATAGCCTGTTGCATATTCATACACTTCATACATGATGCATCAATTCCAATAAAATACAGGATTCTGTCTGGTCATCGTCAACTTCTTCCTCCAAATCCTAACAGTGCCTTCGAGGCGGGAAGAAGTTGGTTTCTTCTGATAAGAGGGCCATAAATTCTTCTTCTCTGAAAGATTTAGGTGTCCAGTGGCTGCTATCTCGCTGCGAGTCCTTTCTTTTTAAAAAGGTATCCTACATTGCATCGTTTCTATTTTAACAATTTTTATAACCTAAAACTATATTTACCACAGTACTTAAGAAAACTAATACAGCATTACTTTCTAACACAACACATAGAATATTCATTTTAATATTTGCGAAAAGGCAATCATAAAATACATGCATTTTTCACACTAGGAAGGAACTAAAAAGATTTAATGATCAAAATTGGTAAAAAAAAAGAAATGGGGGATTGTAATAAGTAGCAATACGTTTGTTCATTAATTAAATCAATAGCTAAATAATTATACAATATCAAAGCAATAACTAAATAGCTAAAACCGCTTGATTCTTAAATGCGCAGCCACATATGGTTGCTTGCCTTGCAGGAATCGTATAGTGCTTTGGGAATTCCACGGTAAAGATATACCTTATAAGGAAAAGTTCACCCAGCGGTCACAGAGGAAGGCTGTAACAACAATCCTTAAACTCACAAGAATTGCTTAGGCTTGCAGGAATCGTATAGTGTTCTGAAAATTCCACTGTATAGATATGCCTTATAAGGGAAAGTTCACTCAGCGGTTAAAAGAGGAAGACTTGGAGCCTTCATCCCACGACCACCAGAAGGCAGAAAAAGAGCCCCTAGCAACTGAACGAGCAAGAGCAAAAGACAGACCACATCATCCCTGGACCCGGGAGAAGAAGGCAATAAAAGGTGAACCTTGGGGATAGGAACGGTGCGAGCCTAGAGGAGCGGAGACTCCCGGCCACCCCGCGCTGAACTTTGCTTATTCTTGCTTGCATAATAATAATAATAAAAATAAAAATTGTATGATCCTTAAATCCAGTGAACTCGTTTATCACACCCATGAAATGTTGCGTCTCACGCAAAGAAGAAAGAAGCCACAAGCCAACACTCTTCTTTATTGCTACACTGTTTTCTTTGGTTACTTCTCTAATAGGAATGACTTTGGGGTGTGATTTGTTTGTTTCTCTCTTTCGTTCCTTGGGGCGTGCGGCGGCTCCTCCGTTGGGTTCACGGGGCAACGGAGGAACGGCCGCGAGCTCCGGCGGCTCCGCAGCAGCAGCAGCAGCAGCAGCAGCAGCAGCAGCAGCAGCAGCAGCAGCAGCAGCAGCAGCAGGAGCAGCGCTTTTCTCAATCGATTTTCCGATCGACTTTTCCCTCGCTCCGCATCCCCTTCTCCCTCCCACTCACTGTATTCCCGTCCCATTCCGTGCCGGGCCGTGCCGTCCGTGTTCCGCCTCTCCCAGCCCGGCTGATGCCGCGTCCCGCAAGGCGCCCCTCGGCGGGGCCGCCCCGTGCCCGCCCCTGCCCGGCCCGCCGTGGTTCCGCCTCGGCCGTGCTCTCTCCGTACCGGCTGTGGCGCCGCTGGAAGAGCCGCTTGCTCTGGTGCTGGCGGAGCATCGCGGTCTTTTGGCTCGGCCTGGCGCGGGCTCTGGCCCAGCCCCGGCCGAGGCCCCGGCCCCGAACGAAGCCCCTGCCGCGGTTCCGCCCGCAGCCGCTCCGCTGCCGCCCGGCTCCCGCCCCGTGGCCGAGAGCGTGGCCGGCAGCTTCCCCGCTCCGAGCTCCGCCGCTCGCCAGCTCGGCCGCCGGCCCCGAGCCGCCGCAGCCCGGGGCGGCTCGGCAAGCAGCAGCGCGCCGGGCGGGCAGGTGCCCCGGGCAGAAGAGCGGCAGCGCGGTGCCGCCCGCACGGGTGGAGAAGCCTCCCCTGGAGCAGCTCTACCGGCAGGGCCCGCTGCTGGGCAGCGGCGGCTGCGGCAGCGTTTACTCCGGGACCCGGCTCGCCGACGGCGCCCCGGTAAGAGACGGGGCCGGCTCGGAGGGCGGCAGCGGGCGGCGGGCGGCGGGCGACGAGCTCAGCCCGCCGTTCGCCTTGGCTCGCAGGTGGCCATCAAGCGAGTGTCCCGGGAGCGCATCTCGGAGTGGGCGCGGCTGGTGAGTGAGCGGGGCCAGCGGGAGGAGCTGGCGGGGCGGGCCGGGCGGGGCTGAGGCGAGGCCCGGCAGGGCGGCAGCCGGAACGCTGCGAGGGCAGCGAGCGTGGAGTGAGCGGGGGCCGCGCAGCGCCCCGGGCCGGGCCATGGCGAGCCGCGGCGGGGCCGGGCAGGGGCTGCCCGAGGCGCGGCGCAGCATCGGCCCCGCTGACGGCATCGCGGTCCCCCCGCAGCGCAACGGCGCCCTTGTGCCCCTGGAGCTGGCGCTGCTGTGGATGGTGTCGCGGCCTGGCTTCCGCGGCGTCGTGCGGCTCCTGGACTGGTTCGAGGTGCCCGAGGGCTTCGCGCTGGTCATGGAGCGTCCGCAGCGCTGTCAGGACCTCTGGTACTTCCTGCACCAGCGGCGGTTCCTGACGGAGCCCGTGGCGCGGGGGCTGTTCCGCCAGGTGCTGGAGGCCGTGCGGCACTGCAGCAGCCGCGGCGTCCTGCACCGCGACATCAAGGCCGAGAACGTCCTCGTCGACCTGGCCACGGGCGAGGCGAAGCTCATCGACTTCGGCTGCGGCGCGATCCTCCAGGACACGATCTACACCCGGATGTCAGGTGAGCCCAAGCCGGGCAGCTGAGTTCCCTGCTTTGCTGGCAGAGGGGGAAGAGGGGGGAAGGAAGGAGGGGGAATCCTTCTTCAACCAGCTGCAGCCAAGTTGCTTTTTGGCAGGGCAGGGGCTGGCTGCTGTGGAACGGGAGCTGGCTGGGAGGGAGGGAAGGAGGACGGGAGGGAGCAGCATGGGCCTGATGAGCTGTGCCCGTGTCCCATAGGAACGCCGGAGTACAGCCCACCGGAGTGGATCCTCTTTGGCTGCTACCATGGCCAGCCAGCCACTATCTGGTCCCTGGGCATCCTGCTCTATGAGCTGGTCTGCGGGCACCTTCCTTTCCGCACCAAGGAGGACATCGTCCGGGGCCAGCTCGTCTTCCCACCCCGGGTGTCTCAAGGTGGGGATGCACCTTCAAGGCACGAGGGGAAGAATGGGGTTGGGAGGGGCACCTGGCACATAAGCATCCTGCTCTTGCAGCTGGTGAGGAGGTGGATCTCCTGGGCTTAGCTGGAGGAGGTGGCACCAGTGCCTCTGTGCTGGTGTCCTCCGCAAGAGAGGATCAATAGGAAGCTTTTGGGTGCAGCTCTGAGCACTGCTGGTGTTGCCTGGGCACTGTGGAATGTGGGAGAGCATGGACAGGAGCCTTCTGGTTTCTCTCCGCAGAGTGCCAGCACCTCATCAGGTGGTGTTTATCCATGGACCCCACACACAGGCCATGCTTGGAGGACCTTTTTGAGCATTCTTGGCTGCAGGAGCCCTGCCTAGCCCAGGAGACAGCAGAGATGCATCCCTGAGCCCAGTAGGATCCAGGAGCCCAGCAAGCAGCAGCGGCACGCGTCTCGTGGCACTGGAAGAAAACCCCGGAGCGTTTCCCTGCGGCTGCGGCGCAGAGGAGAGAGCGCAGCCGAGGAGATGCTGCTTCCACTGGTCCCCACGAGCTGTGGAGGGAGCGGCTCCGTGCTGCCCGTCCCATTGGAGAAGTGGTGGCAGTGCAGTGAAGGTGACACGGATTGGGACAGAGGAAACATCCCCCTGCAGCTCAATGGCATCGTGATGTCCCCGCAAGCCAAGGCACAGCTGGTGTGTTCTTCTGGAGCACAACGTGGAGCTGGGAACACCATCCTGGAGCTGGCCGCTGGTGGGGCAGAGCCAATTGGTTTTGGCTGCGGCCCCTGCCTTAAGGACACGCTCTGCACTCCGATGGAATCAAGATGAGTCCCCAGCCAGCGCAGGGGCGGGGGGATGCTGGTGCTTCCAGGCACGGCAGGGCTCGGCCTGGCCATGTGCCGGAGGTTCCCTGCTCGGCAGCGCTGGGGAATATTAATTTTTCTGCCAGCCGCCAAGCTGCTTTTTGGCGGGACAGGGGATGGATATTCTGGAAGGGGAGCCGGCTCCTGGCCTTGCTGACAGCTTCTGCCAGCCAGCCTGGCACGGGCTGAGGCGGGGGCAGCCAGCCTGACAAAAGCATCCATCCATGGGGATGGGGGGCGGCAGAGGGGGGGACGGGTTCTGGAGCCGTGCCCCAGCTGGTCTGCTCTGCAGGCCCTTGAGGAAGGGGTGCGTTTACGGGCAGGAAAGGTGGGGATTTTCCCCACCCCTGGACAGGTTTAATTCTCACATGGAGTGGTCAGACCCTCCTCAGGCCTGTGAAACGGTGACAGGCTTTGTGCTTTTTCTTGTTTCCAGGTCTTGTTTTGAATTGGCTTTCATGCAATTGTTCTTTTGTTTTCCCAGGAGGATTACACCTGGTGCCCAGACCAGACAGGGAAGCGCCTGCAGCGTCCGTGGAGCGTGTCCAGTGCCAGCGCTGCCCCAGGGGCCACGGTCTGCAGGGACAGCCCCTTCCAGAAGGACGAGGACCTGGTTTGGGATCGGCTCCTCTCCTGGCAGCAGCTCTCCAGAGGTGGGCACCCGGCTCCACAGCTTGGCTGGCAGAAGGGCTCCGGGCAGACGGCAGCGGGCACACGGGCATCCCGCTCTTGCAGCTGCTGAGGAGGTTGCTGTGCCATGATTAAGCAGAGGAGGTGGAACGTGGCCTGCCACGCTGCCCTTCTCTAAAAACAGAGAATGGGTCGGGAGGTTTGGGCTCTGAGCAGAGCCAGCAGCCTGGCCTGGGCACAGGCCATGGCGGGACAGGGGGACAGGAGCCTGCTGCCACTGACCGTGGCTCTCTGGTTTCTCTCCGCAGGCTGCCAGCACCTCATGCCATGGGAACGGCACCGCTCGGCCTGCCCGCCTGGGAGGGCTGGAGGGCGGCCGGTGTTCATTTGCTTTCAAAATAAATTTGTTTGGGTTTTTTTTGTCATCGTCATCATTGGAGCGTTTCTTTTGTCATGAAATTTTTAAGTAGAATGAATATTAATTTATCACGGGGTGAAAAACAGATTTTTGGGGTTTCTAGAATGGGGATTCAGGGGGCAAGATGGAGCAATTGGGGCGTGTCCAGCCTTTCTCCGTCTTCTTCTTCTTGGCCTCCATCTTCTGCTGTGATGTTGGCACTTTTAGATTGGTCTAGAGTAGAAGCTCACTGTCTACCATAGGTGATAGGTATTGGAAAATAATTGTAAATATCATACATGTAGGTTTTTAGTATAAAATGATAACACCGCCTTGGGGCAGGCAGAATGCCTCTGACTGTCTTGCTGAGCAGACCTCGTCAGGACAGGAGAAAGAATTTTATAGATAAGATACAATAAACAACCTTGAGACCAAGAACGGAAGAGCTCCGACTCCTTCTTTGAGCGCCGGGCTAGGAAAAGAGACTTTCTAACGTATATCAGGGTCACTCTGACCAGCTAGAGATCCCTAGATATCCTAAGAAATATTTTTTGGGTCCTTTAAATGTTGTTATTTTCTTATAGATGTTCAGGTGTTCTAAGAAGTTATTTGCAAGGTCTCTAGGAGAAGATTTTTTATTAAATAAAGAAGGGGGAGTTGTGGGGGCCAGAGATCCAGCCAGAGAAGAGCTTGCTGTGCTCCCCTGGAGGGCCAACTCCTGACCCACTGACTTTGTAGTTGGGGCAAGCAAATATGACCCCCAGATGCCTTTGCAACTTCATGTTGATCCCCCAGTACTCATTGGTCCTTCCCTTTGTGTTCTGCCCCTGAGCCCTTATCCCATTGGTTACCAGTTTTGTCCCGCCCCTTGCCTTCCCTATATAATCCCATTTTTCCCTGGTTCTGAGTTTCTGTTCCTGGCTCCCTATGCAGAGTGCCCTGCTCTTAAGAAAGGCTTCTTCTCTGTGGAATGCCATGCAGAGCTCCAGCCTTTTTTCTCCGTGTCACCTGAAGAAGGAAGCTGAACATCACACGCTGGTCTGGGAGGAGGATATGCCTGTGCCCCTGAGCTGTCCTCCTTAGGAGGCTCTTCAGGAAGGTTGTGGCACCCTTACCACGGCCACCCTGCCGCCACAGCAAGCAAGAGCCTCAGCAATGCCCTTGTTCCTAGAGGCTGTTCTTGTTCACTTGCTACTGATGAGTAATTTGGGATCACAGCCACCAGGACAGTCCTGGAAGCCCTGGAAGTTTCCTGCTGAAATACTCAGCATCAGTCAATTAACAATACAGAGTGCAATACACATACTCCAGCCACATGGCTCTGTCCCATCAGCTTCTCCGTGACTGGATGTGACACGTTTGGGGATTTCTGCTCTTTGGGCATTTGTTTCCTCTTGCATTTCATTGGATTGAGGCAGTTGTTGCATATAGGTTTTATGGGCAATTTTTTTTCCTCCATAGGGAGAGTAGAAAAGAATACAGGGAGAGTAGAATAGAATACAGCAGCATGCTTAGTTGGTTTATTAAAATCAATGAGTTAGAAAGGAGTAAGCAGCTATGGAACTGAGGAAAAGGGAATATTAATAGACTATGATAAAACACTCCACAGAAAACACAATTATGCTAAAGAGTGTCCTTCTCCTTTTGCAGAAAGGCCCCTCACCGAGGACATAACCAGGGTGGGACAGAAAGCTGCATCAAGAGCTTGTGGGGGGAAAGGGAGTTCTTTGTGTTGTAATGCCTATGGAAATTCTGTGCAGTGACAGAGCTCTTGTAAGAGCTGTAAATTGGTACAATGCCTTCAGGCCTAAATTCAAGCTAGACGCATGCTCCCAGAGCAGCAACCTTTCTGTCACTGCTCTTGGAGTGCAGCTTCAGAAACAGGCAAAACAGACCTCAGCTTAGAAAATCTAAAAGCTCCTTTTTGGTTCCTTGATCAGATTCAGGATATACTAGATTGCCAAGCAGTATGGATTCCATTTGCCACCTGTATGCCAGTTGTCTTCTGTTAATTGGGCAGTTTTCCTTATCTCTTCCACAGCCACTCCTCCCTCCAGGGGAGACATCTGCTGATAATGGGCTATTGAATGTCACTGCATGGCTGATAAGAACTACAGCATCCCATTGGGAGATGCTCTGCCCAGAGGGAGGAGCCAAGCATTCCTACCCGGATATAATCTTGAAATTCTGGAACACCAGCACAGCTTCTCCTCTGGATTTCCCAGAGAAACAGCAGCTGCCTCTTCCACTGGATCTTCAGAGGAAGACTACACCTTTCTACAGGATCCCTGCTCCAACAGAACCACACCTGACACTCCAGGAGGGCTGCAGCCACAATTCCAATTGGACTGCTACCAACACCCTGACCCACAGGGTGTCAGGTTGTATTCTGACTCTGTCAGTGCTGTTTTGGTTTACTGCATTGTTTATTTTATCTTTTTATTTTCTTCCCTAATAAAGAACTGTTATTCCTGCTCCCATATTTTTACCTGAGAGCCCCCCTTAATTTAAAATTTATAACAATTCAGAAGGAAGGGATTTACATTTTTCCATTTCAAGAAAGGCTCCTGCCTTCCTTAGCAAACACCTGTCTTTCCAAACCAAGACAGAGGAGCCACCTGTGTTATACATGTAAATACTTAACACGAAAAAAGCAAGAGCCTCAAAAAGGCAAAACAGCTTGGTAATTTGTAGAAAGTAACTTGGATCAAAACCAAAATGTGTTAATAGATCGGTCTGAAGATGACATTCACAATTTTCCTGGTGATATTGTGCACTGTACTGTAACAGTGGATAGTAACTGGACATAGCCAGTAGGATAACTGGATATGCTTTTCAAACTTAGTATTCATTGAATTATTCATTGAATTCTCATCCTTCTGTACACTTCAGCTCTGCTGTAAACTTCAGGACATTTTTTCACAAGCTTCTAACAAGTTACTCTGGATCCATAATTCCTGAGACCAAAGGGAGTCCAAATGCCAAGTGGGATTACTCTTTCTCAAAGCCTGGAGTCACACAGAATGAAGCAGTACTTAAATCATTGTGTGCATCCCATACACATAACAGTCCAGTTACTGACCATATGCAATAATTTAAAAAAAAAAAACCTTCAAGAATAATCTACAAATAATATCTTGAACCTGTTTAAATTCAGGGGTGGCATTACAATTGCCCTAAAAAACTCGAAGGGGACCTAGTGCTCTTGCAGTAATACAAGAGAACTGTAAGTGTGTATTACTAGTTGTTATTCATATTAGGTAAAAATGGATCAGCTCAGCTTTGCAAAGCAAGAAACAAGTCATGGAGAATTGAAATGATGGAGTTGGGACAGTGTAGCCAGTCTGCTTTTTGTGAGAGATGCTCTTAAGCAGTGGCAGTAGTAATGTACTCATCTCCTGTAACTTTGCTTCTTGTGATCTACTATCCACCTCTGCAATTTTTTCTGCTCTTTCTTGTCTTTATTTCTTCAGCTGAGTACCAAAAGGAAACACAGAACTGCAATGTTGCTACCAAA